TTCCTTGCAAGACCTATTCCAAAGAGACAGAAAAAAGGCAGGCTTCAGAATCAATCAGATGTGTGTTCAGATCCTGGCTCTGGCACATCCCAGCTCTGTGGCCTTGGTGGAACCTTTTAGCTCTCATCTCTTCATCTATAATTGGGGAAAAATTCCTGTCTCCTAAAATTGCTACACAGCTTAAATGAGATAAAATATGCTGTGTGTTTGGAGCTTATTGGTTTTCAACAAATGCTTGTGTCCTCTTCATCTTCTAGAGCAGCTAATCATCAGTGGAGGTTTAAGTGGGAGAAAGGCTGGCCTAGGATCAAAATCTTGGGATTTAAGATCAGAAATGTGAGTACATTTTTATCAAAAGGGGGAATACCTTTTCAAAGTTAAAACTCATTTTTCCAGAATTTCTAATCAAACATTTTATCAAGCACTTTTCTTTTATCCAAGGCAACCTGTTGGGTACTGAAGGGGCTGTGAAGACATGGTCCTGCCATCAGACAGCTTTGGTCTGCTGTGAACATCTACAAGATGCTGCGTTGTGGTATAGTGGGTAAAGCGCTGTCTACCATGCCAGCAACCCATATGAGTGTCAAGTTCAAGTCCTGGAAGTTCCACTTTCAACCCAGCTCTCTGCAATGGCCTGGGAAAGCAGTACAAGATGGTCCAAGTGCTTGGGCCCCTTCACCCATGTGGGAGACCCAGAGGAAGCTCCTGGCTCCTGTCTTCAGATAAGCCCAGCTCTGGCCGTTGTGGCCATTTGGGGAGTGAACCAGTGGATGGAAGACTTCTCTCTCTGCCTCTGCTTTTCTGTAACTCTGCTTTTCAAAGCAGTGAATAAATCTTTAAAAAAAAAAAGTTCATGGAAAATGGCATTAAAAGATGCTTATTTTAGTGTAGAAAAATGAAATTTATACAGAGATTCTCCATCATACACATTTTCTTGAGCTTTTTGAAAACCCTGAATATCCTACCAAGTACCACTGTGGAGTTGTAGATTCCTAGATTCTAGGCTGTTCCCATGTCCCTAGTAAGCTCTTCATCCTTGTGTGGTTTCTCAAGGAGCTTTCCTGCAACTTCAATCAAAACAATAAAGGATAAGGTTTCTAATAAACCTTTAACATCTCTGACCAGTAGTATCCCTGGCAGTCCCTCAGAACATGCCTTGCGCTAGGTTTGTTGGGTCTCTCAGCTCTTGTCTTCTGGTCTTGGAAGTCAGCCATGCCTAATTGCTCCAACATAGTTTTCTCATTACTAGGTCATGAAGTCAATTTAATAGGTCTTGACCAACATTCTTTTCAATTAAAAAGACAAGACCAGATTAGAAAAAAAGTCGAAATTCATTGTATTTATCCTTAGTAACCTTTTTAAAAACGAAATACTAGCCTGTGTAAAAAATTTTTTTTGCTGTGGGTAACCATGAAATCTATTTGAAAAACATGCTCTGAAAAAAACAGGACCTTGTAAATCATAAGTGCCAAGAGTGTTCATGCAATAAGTGTCAGGAATTAGACTTTAGGCTTAAGTCTAGTACTTTAGAAATTATTTTCTTCTAGGAATTTACATTAAAATGTACATGGTTGCTAGTCTGATCTTCTATTATGCCATACAACCTGATCAACCAGATTTCCTCCTGTTGTTATGTTCACCTCTGCCATCATCACCACCATCTCCTTTCTCTTTAGGGAAAGATCTTTGACAGGGTCCCAAGATTTCTCCTTTATTCTTTTTTTTTTTTTCAAATACATAAACATTTTTAACAAAGATTTTACATATTATATGGCACCATGTGATGTTGAAGTACATGCATACAAAAAATGTCCAATGAGGAGAAGTATATCTATCTCCTCAAACATTAACATTAATCTATGGTGGAAACATCCAACATACAGCACCTTCACATTACCTGTGCTGGATATTAGAATTCTAGAACTTCTTCTCCTGCCTAGCTATAACTTAGACCCCGTTTTTCAATCTTCCTGGGGAGTTCAGTTTCTCTCTACCACCATGCCCTGTATTCAACCTAGCCAGTCCTACTTCAAGCTGTCACCCTTTCAGATCTGAATTAGCAAATTCTTTTCATCTGTGTCTTCCCATGCTTCAGAGTGGAGTTCTCTTTAAGACTAAAATCTTTCTCTGGCTGATGCTGCTCATTCCTCAAAACACTCCTGATGTACTGTTATGATTAAAAGGGACAATGATGGAGAGGGACAAAGGGGATGCAGTAGGTGGAGCCTCCCACCCTGCCATGCTTGTCTTGTCTCATTAGGTTGGGTCTCTGTTCTCTGCATCACAGGAGGTCTGCACATTGGCCTGTCTGTGAACTGACACTAAGATGTATAAAAAACCTTCTGCTTTTATCCCACCGAATAATGTTTGAATCAAAGAATATTTAAAATACTGATACACATTTGTTCCTTCTGAGTGTCTTGTAGCTCTGAAGTTGTTCAGAGAAGCAAGTGTTGTTGAGGACTTGATGAAGACAGAGGGCACTAAGGAAGAGGTGAGCTTGCAATGCTCTTGTGGGTAGAATTTGGATAAGTGAAATCACATACGTAGGAATCTGTAGGAAAACAGGACAAGTATAGAGAAAGCAGCCAGCGGGCTCCAAATGAGGGAGTGGGCCAGGGTGCGCAACGGAAAGCTGGACTGGAACCTTTGGGAGGTAGCATGGAAATGTGGATTAAGAACAGATCTTCGGCTGGCGCCACGGCTCAGTAGGCTAATCCTCCACCTTGCGGCGCCGGCACACCGGGTCCTAGTACCGGTTGGGGCATCGGATTCTGTCCCGGTTGCCCCTCTTCCAGGCCAGCTCTCTGCTGTGGCCCGGGAGTGCAGTGGAGGATGGCCCAAGTCCTTGGGCCCTGCACCCCATGGGAGACCAGGAGAAGCACCTGGCTCCTGCCATTGGATCAGCGCGGTGCACCGGCTACAGCGCGCCAGCCGCGGCAGCCGTTGGAGGGTGAACCAACGGCAAAGGAAGACTTTTCTCTCTGTCTCTTTCTCTCTCCCTGTCCACTCTGTCTGTAAAAACAAACAAACAAACAAACAAATCTTCATGGGAAGACTTAACACCAGGAACAGAGAGGAAAACTTGTACATATTGTACATATTGTTGTACCAAATGAACATGGTGTTTTAAGAGGGGTTAACATTCTATTTTGTGGAGCAGAATTCAGTGCAAGGAGGCATCCAGCAAAGGTAGGTCACATGAGGAGCCACTCAAGTAACCCATCCTTGAGGCAAAACCAGGGCAGCAGAGTCAGGCAGTGGGAACGGGGAGGGAGTCTAGATACGAAGACTTGTCTAAGACAGTGTGCCATCAGCTCAGGGCTATCTGATCAGACACACTATGTTTATACGCTTGGTCTTGAACCAGTTAATTTTCCCTTCAAATGTATCTTTCCTGAATATGTAAACTCTCTCATTAAGATACAAGCCATATGCCTGCTTTGAAGCTAAGCCAGACCCCACCTAATGCTGGCCTTTACCTCTTTTTTTTCTTGTTGGTAATCAGCTCACTGAAGCAGATGTTACTTCCTGACTCCAGAGATGCCAACAGCCTCAGAAAGAAATGGATTATCGAAATGGGGTCTGCACTCAGCATGATCCAAATATGGAAATCAAACCGAGGCCTTCTGAGGCTCCAGGCTTGGCAAGGAGGATGAGAAAGGGCTTAATGTTGGTCCTCGAAAAGACTGTGGTTACCAGGGCCATCGTGGTAACCTGCAGAAAGTCTTGCCAGTCGTAACAATTAACACTAATAGTGCACTTGCAATTTAACTCCATGGATTAATTTGACAAATATTTATTGACTGTGTGCCAGGCACCAAACAAGGCTGTGGGGGGTAACAAGATGCAAAGGGCACAACACCTGCCTTTGCTAAAGTTTCCAGCTGAGCAGGGGAGACTGACCTATAACCCAGTAAATACTACTACCGTGGAAGGTTCTGCTCTCTGCGTGTCCTCGGAGCCACAGAAAGTGTAATGATCTGATGCTGCAGACACAGAGAGTTTGGGATTTCTCATTGCACACTTTTCAAAAATCCCTTGGAAGTTCAAGAAGTCACATATAAGCACCTTCCAGTAAAGCTTTGATTTGAATAGAAATAAAAGAACACAAAAATCAGCAAGTCCTCCGTGAAACCTGGAGTGTTCCCCAGAATTGCTTTCTTGGGCCTTGATTTAACCAGTTGTGGTTACCCAGCCTGGCCCTCCTTTTACAGAAGCCTTGAACTCATGATTCTTGAGCCCTGAAGTGAGAGAATTTCAGCTGACAGCAGTAGCCAGATAGTAGGGAGGAAGACAGACCCTGATCTCCTGAAACAAACTGTCCCTCTTCACTCAGGATTAGAACCATTGACGATTGTGAGTCTTTGCTTTCCTTTATGTTTCATGATGTGAGGGAGGGAGAGGTTTGTTTTAGTTTAAGTGAGGTGGTTTCTAGTGGTGGGGAAATGCAAGGTTGAGATCTAGGAGGGCTAACAATGGAGAAGCTAACTGGAAATAGAGGCTAGTTACACTGGATTTAAGGATTATGTTCAACTTTAGGAAAAAGGTATTAAGAAGCTTTTAAAAATAAAAATCATAGTCACTATGTTACTAAATAGTTTCAGGCAGGTTTCCTTGAAAAGTATCCTTCCTCCTGTAACCCCCCGCCCCCGCCGACCATATCCTTGTTAGGTTTAGCTTAACGATAATGAGAGGGGCCAAAAAAGCTTTTAAAGCTGATTTCCTTCAGTTTTTAATTCCTTGCCAGGAACTGGAGGACTGATTGGCCAGGGCCTCTTCTGTCTCTTGGCTGTTTATGAAATTACAAAGTGAAATAATACACACACACACACACACAGAGTGCAAGACAGCATCACAGAAAAATATGTTCACTCTAACTGAATTCACTAAAATTAGCAGTGATGAAAGGAATAATACATCCCACTAGTACATTGATTTTTGTCCTCCAAGGGAAGCAGCTGCCGGTCAGCAGCCCTTGGCAGAGAGCTGAGTCGTACCTTGCAATGTGTCCTGGTGAAGACATGCTCTGGTCGAAGCTGAAAATGCTCAGGTGAAATCACAGGGCTTGTGTGTTCCCTGCTTTTCCAGCGAACTTAAATAGTTCAACAGCTGTGATTCATTGCACCAGTCTCTTCCACACCCACCCACTCTACAAGTCACGTACAAGGGTACACACCAAAGTAATTAGTGAATTATCCAGTTCAGCTGCATAGCTATGTAGTCAGGTGCTAGACACCAGAGGTGGTCTTATGCAGATTTCAGGTGATTATTTAATACATTGAGTTAAGACAAAAATCTATAGTTCCTCTTCTTGTTGATTTATGATTTTTTTCTCTATTAATCAAAAGATCCAAGAGAGTTGTATGAACCCCAAAGGCACTGGAAAACATCAGTGCAACACATGTTGAGCCAAAGTTGCCCACTGTCTAAATCATTCTCTAATAATGATGTTTCCACATCATTCGCTGTATAACATTAAACCATAAATTACCAGCCTGCCAGTAAGTCTAACCTGACTCTTCCTAAACTCAAGAGTACTTCAAAAATCTCATGGAAATTTTTATTTAAAAGATATTTTATTTTGGTACAAACATGTCAAATCCATGTGTTTTTTTTTTTTTATCATAATACACACTTCCATGAACTCTTTGAAGTCTCCTTGTATTTATTGGTTCTGCAACATTGAAGGCATTACTATTGCTGGAGGAACAAGAAAAACAATCCTTTGCCTCATAGGCCAGACTTCCATAAATCCAGGATGCTCATCCAGTAGAAAGGCTAGACTCGAACTATGCACAAGGGATCGCAATGAGGTGACAATGAGATGAAATGTGCACTGAAAAGCTGACCAAGGATGCAAAGAATCCGCAAATGCCATGATATGGAGAACAGCTGAAAGAAGTAAGAAAGTTTAGGGGTATGATAGAGTCTCCCTCTACCATAGAGGTAGAGGGTATCCCCAGAAACAACAAGGCTTCAATTTCAGGTCCATATGAAAAGGGGATAACATCCAGTGATATCTTAGAGAAGAATGAGCTGCTTTGGCAGGTGGCAAGAGCCCCACTGGCTTGTGTTCAAGTAGCCATCATCTTGGACTCTACTGCTCAGGGGCTTTGTGGAGGCATTTTTCCAGGTCTGAGATTCTGATTCCATACACCGAAGGCCAGGGACTGCAGAAGGCACAACTCTGTGTGTCAAATCATTCTCTAGCCTGAATATCCCAAGTCCAGTCAAGCAGAGAACTGGGAAAGACTCTCTCCCTTTTCAATTTAAGTGGAACAACGCAACACAGCAACAGAAATTGATCCCTCCTCTTCTCTTCCACTTATCGAAGAATCACCTTTGGAGATCACCTCTCTGGAGAGGTGGTCACTGGCCAATGGTTTTATGAAAGGTCCTTCAAAATTGAATAGAAATTTGCTCAAAGATACATTGTTCTTTAATGCAGGGTCTAGGCAATAATCTCCACTACTTGAGTTCAGTGGACTTTTCATTTTCCACGACAGGTATATTACACACGGTATATTTTGAACCGTGTCCTCCAGAGCGAGAGGACAGGAATACTTGACGGGGTCCAAGCCTCTTGGGCAAGCTGGGACATGGCTCCATTCGGTCCAGTGTTCAGTGTTTATTTAATTCTACAGTGTGCACAGCTCCAGGATTCGGAGTTGCATAGCGAAAACATTCTGAACAGAAAAATCCTAAACTTCTTTTCTACATTTGCACATCTCCTTTCCCCCTTTTCTTCCAACTCAAACTTGGAGGTTTCATAACTGTTTATATAATCAGACACTTTGTTTCAGAAACAGTACAACTAATGTCTTTGTGAGGAAATGCCTTGCAAATGCTCGAAACCTCAAAACAATTTTCAAATTTCTACTTTCTTTTTTTAAAAAAATTGGAAAGAACAATTAAGGAGATTTTAGGGGGTGGTCTGGCATATAACACCCCCAAATACCTTTCAGGGTATTTTCTTTGGAGAATATGATTACAGCTGTTCAAACTTAAAATTATTTACATTGAACCAAAAAACCTTGATTTTAAAGTCATATGACTTTATATAAACTGAAAGATGGCAAGGAGTCAAACCTTGGCATTTCTCATGGACACATATTGCCCATTGGCTGTGGCCTCTGAGGGTGCTTTGGGGAGCCTTGGGTTAGTGGGAAATGACAAACGAAGACTGAGGAGTAAGAATTTTGCCTACTAAGACATATTGGGTTGCAACTGAATCTGAAAGCAGCAGGTAGTCATCAGAAAGGTTTATGTGAAATCTAATGAATCAGAAAGAGAAAGCAGGGGAGATGGTTTCTTTTCAAACAGGGCCAGATTTTCATCTGATGTAAGTCTTGGAGAATTAGCCAACATATGGAAATTATCCCCATGTGGTTATATGGGATAACAGTATGAGGAATCGTTAAAGGAACAGGAATATTTAGCTTTGTGAAGAGAAAGCCTGGGTGGGACAGATAGCTCTTCTCAAATATTTGGAAGGTCGGCATGTAGAGAAGGGAGTATTATGTGTTGCTCCCAAGGGCAAAAGAAGGTCAATGGGCAGACATTGGAAGGACGGGCTGTGGTTTCGTATCATCTTATCTCCCACCAGGGCATCAGAGCATGGCTGTTTCCTCACAGCAAGTTGGGCTCATGGGGGGTGGGGGCAGGAAGCTATGGAGCCATCATCCCCCAGGAATCAGGACAGGAACTGAGACATCTGGCTCAGCTCTGGGACTGACAACAAAGTTCAAGTCTATTGGGCATGGCTGGACTCCAAGGGCAACATCAATACGCAGTTTAGGCAAACAGGCAGCAAGGACACATGGAAGCCACACAGGCATGAGTGTGGAAGACCTAGGCTGAAACCTTGGTCCTAGCATGTATGGTCTATGTAAACTTGGGAGAGGTCCTTGACTTTTCTGAGCTGCGGTATCCTGATCTGTACAATGGGGACAATAGCTCCTTGCTGACAGGCAGCTACTGTTTCTATCCACTCAGCATTCTCTCTCCCTGTTCAGGTGAAAGCAACCCCTATGCCAAGGAGAGTCCTGATATTAACTAGTGTAGTCTACTTCCCTCTGGACAATCAAACTTTGCCTCCCTAGAATTTTGGGTGGAATGACCCAGTGATGGAAAATGGTTGGAACTGATTCCTTCTGAGGATGGCACCATGAAAGGACTGCCCATCGTTCCTGTTGCCTGAATTTCCTGACCCACGGGGTTGCTGTCCTTCTTGGGATCTAGTTTTTTTTAGCTTCTTCCACTCTGTGAAATACTCTTCTTGCAGTATATACAATTTTGTTTCAGTTAGATGACTCATTTTCTGTGTCTTACTAAAGTAAAGAACTGTTATCTATACACAAAGAACTGTGTCTATATACTGCGCCTATAGACCTACCTTCATAGGGCTGCTCAGAGGGTTGAATGAAGAAATATACAAAAAGTCCCTGACACAGACTGTCTGGCAAACAATAAATGTTAGCTGTTGTGACTTTTGGGTACTGTGGTCCCAAGATGAAGTGAAGAAGGGGTTCAACAGGTGAGGAAAGCCACATTCTGGAGTTCAAGAAATGCTTTACCACTAAAACTGCCCTGACTGTGAAATCTGATAGAACTCCCTGACTCTGGAAGTGATCCTGAGGGGCCCCAATCAGAAGGCTACAGAGAGACTGTCACATTGAGAGGGAGTGTAGACCTGAAAATCTCCAAGCTCACTCCTAGCTCTACGGGATTCTGCACAATGGATGCTCCAATTGTGATAGGCTATTGTAGAGGGACAGGAGCCTCAGGGTCTCTTAGTAGCCTTGCATCACTTGACAGTCCTGATCTTACTTGACTCTTCAGCCCAGTGCCCTATCTGATGCTGTTAATCATCTCTCCTTCCTGACTTTCCTGTGCTGTTCCTCCTCCCCAGTTTTCCTCCTACCTCATTGGCAATGCCTTTTCATGGACTGTTTCCTCTTCTCTGTATGCCTGCCTTTACTTCAACTACCAGGCTGACTCCTGATCTCTCAGGATTAAGTTCAAGGGCTAGGTCTACCTCAAAGTCCTCCATCCCACCCATCACCCTCCATCCCACCCTAGCACTTCCTCTTTCCTCCAGCAGTCAGCACTCTGAGTTCTCATAGCTCCTTCTTCACCCTGTTTCCACTATGAGATCAAGGAAGAGGCTACATCTTGTACACTCCAAATCCCCAGTGTCCAGCACAATGTCTGGCACAGAGCAAGTGTTCAAAACACACTGGATGAAGAGAAGAAAGAAGGAGGAAGGGAAGGGAAGGGAAGGGAAGAAGGAGAAGGGGAAGGGAAGGGAAGGGAAGGGAAGGGAAGGGAAGGGAAGGGAAGGGAAGGGAAGGGAAGGAGGGGAAGGGGATGGGGACGGGGTGAGGAGAGGAGAGGAGAGGAGAGGAGAAGAGAGGGGAGGGGAGGGGAGGGGAGGGGAGGATGGGGAGGGGATACGAGGGGAGGAGAAACTGAGGGGAAAGTGAGGGGAGGGAAGAGGAGAGGAAGAGGAGGGGAGGGGAAGGGAGGGGAGGCGAGGGGAGGGAAGAGGAGAGGAGAGGAAAAGGGAGGGGAGGGGAGAGGAGGAGAGGGAAGGGGAGTGGTGGGTTTTACTTGTTATGGGTATGTGTGTTGGAGGTTATTCATTGGCATTTATTTTTATAGTGGAGATCCAGTTTATGAATATGTGTCCAAACAGAACAGGTAGGAAACTTTTTAATGACTCACAACTTACCTGCCTTTGCCACCAAGAAACACAGCCAGAACCCAGATAGTGATCTCACCTGAGAGACCAGTGAGAAAACAATAGACGAACCCGATTGGCAGAACATTATAGGCCAACACTCTAATTTCCTGCTTACGTAGTTCCAGCCCTAGATAATTCTCAACATGTATCCCCCAGGATCAAAAATCACTGGATAGATCATGTACAGTATACTTGACCATGACTGTTGTGGTCTTATACAAACTGTCCTAAATCAAAACATTTACCACATGAGCCCAAAGAGAACAGAACACACTACCTAATTATTTTGCCTTCATTAGCTAAGGAATGGGGTCAGTGACGTGACTGGTTGCTTTAATCTCCATAGGCCATAATTCTATGACTAACTTTAGAACAAAGCAAGGGACAAC